GAGCCTGAACAAAAGCAAAACTGAATATATGTTTATTGGATCACATCAAAAACTTAAACAGTGTAACTCCGAATTGCAAATAAAAATTGGAGATACGCCTATTCAACGAGTAACTGTTACTAAATCACTGGGTATGATGGTAGATGAGACCTTAACCTGGCATTCTCAAACAGATCTAATTACAAAGAAAGTGAACAAGGGTCTTTACGTCCTTAGACGATTAAGAGATTTTGTTGATGTAAGGACTCTAGTAACAGTTTACAAAACCTTAATTCAACCACACTTTGATTACTGCTCGCAAGTATGGGGTTGTCTTGGAATTACCCTTCAAAACCAATTGCAACGTTTACAAAATAGAGCAGCACGTATCATTACAAAGCGTAGGTACGAATTTAGATCAGCCGATATACTTAAAGAATTAGATTTACCTAATTTAAGTCTCAGAAGAAATAATCATTTATGCACTACTATGTATCAGGTAAATAATAACATGGTGCCTGATTACCTAATTGATTTATTCACGAAAACCAGTACACTTCGTAATCATCAAACTAGGCAGGCTGAATTTAACTTTGCACTCCCGATGCCAAGTACAACTTTTGTAAAAATCATTCTCATACAGAGGAGCTGTAGCTTGGAATGATTTATTACCTAATATAAAAAATATGGGTTCATTGTCAACCTTCAAAATGGCTCTAGTGTCAATTAGTGGTAATAATTCTTGATAATCAATTTATCTTTTTTTCTTTCTCTCTTCGATTTTATTATATTAACTTAATAAAATATTTTTATAATTGCATGTAATTATTCATACATATATAGCACTGCCTATTGGAAGATCACATCTTGTAAATATTTTAGTTTTTGTCTTTGTGAAATAGTACCGTGGGTAAATAAAGTTTGATTGATTGATTGATTGATTGATTGATTGATTGACATTTATATCAGTCACAAAGTAGAAAACTCGGAATAGTAGATATAGTCGAACGGTCTGTACCAGCGTAGGTAATATACCAAAACAGCAGAAAATTGAGATAATACAACTTGTAGCATTCAGTTATCATAGTTTCATTTATATACAAAGAAAAATTATATAAATTCCTCGTGAAACGCCCAAACTAATTATCCCAAGGCATTATCCCTCAGCCGACGACGGGAAACGCCGTGCGAGGGTACTAATTCCCCCCGGCTATTTACACCCGGGGAAACGTAAGCATTACCGAAGTCTAAAGTTCATCAATGATCGCGGGCGTGGCTCACCAACGATGGGTGGTCAGCCTCATTGATCTCAAAAATATGGCGGACTGTCATGAATAGCGGACACTGATTGGTCCAATTTAAAGTTTGCATTATAACGACTGCATGACGACAGCGAAATAGCAAGCATTTCTTGATTTGATGATTGATAAATTTCTTCCAAATATATTTCATTTTTGCTCGCATTTTTGCAAGATTTTGTAAATTTCAAAAGCTTTCTCAGAAAGAAAGGTCGAAAGAATCGGCTAAAAGAAGGGACACAACGTTAACGAAGCTAAGTTTGGTTTAAATATTGATTTTATAATTGCTTTAAATCCGACGGCCTTTTTAATTTGGCTTTGCGTATTGGCGGTATATGAAACAACTAAACAAGACAGCATATAATTTGAGTGTATCTTTAATATTGATTTCCTTTTTTATTATATTGAATTTTTTAAATAAAGTTTAAAAATTCATTAACAATTCACGAGGAAAATACAAAAGAAATGAATGTGTAATCAATGTTTGTAAATCGGATAAAGATTTGTCCTGATTTACATAAACTTCAGCTTTGATTTTCTCGGCTTAGACAATGTTTATTTTTAGAATTACTTCGCCAATGAACTCATAAGATGGGTCATTTTTTGGGTACGATAAAACATTCGCATCCGATATGTATCTGATATACAAACTCGAGCCTTCGGCTCGAGTTTGTATATTACATACAGATCGGCTGCTCATGTTTTATCTAGTACTTATTAAAAGATATTTGCATGCGAGAATTTGAAATTATTTTATTGCAAACTCAAAGTTTATCGCATTTATTATATACATGACAAAATTACTGCAATCTGATTGGTTAAGAGGAGTGCAATTATTTCATTAATTGCACTCTCCAGGAGTGCAATTAATGATTTTCGTGATGGCTGGGGGGAGCGGGAAATCAAAACAACAAAATCCA